TCCATTTGTTGCCTAATGACTGCTGCATAATTATTGGTAAAGTTTAGCATTTGGGTGGAATAACCAGTTCCTAAAGGTTGGCTATTTCGACCCATGTTTATCCCAGATCTTGATCCTTGTAACGGTGAAGTAACATTCACTACAGGTTCTGAGAATGTAGAGGCGACGTTATGCAAATTCGCCATCATGGATGTTGGCATTCCATAAGGTTGATCTCGATTTCCAAAAGGCATAGAGAAACCTGGGGCATGAAGGGCCTATTCGAAGTATTCTCCACTAGTAGAGGAGTTACTAGAGGGCCCATTGGCCCAATATAATTTAGAATATGCTCATTATGGGTAATCGAATGCGTGGGCATCGAACTTGCCATGGATGACATAAGTTCTAATACAGTCATTGGGACCGTTGTTGCCCCGATCGAAGATACTTGGGGTGGTTCTCGATTGTTACTCGATGAACTTTGAGGGATCGAAGCATTTGGCTGATTTGAATTTGTCATTCTCTTAGTATATTTTCTCCTTGGTCTATCCTCGTTACTGGTGGCTACTTTTCCACTTCTTAATAACATACAACGAACTTTTCAAGAGAAAAGATAACAAAATGAAATTGCAACAAGAGCACTACTAGCACTGTCTCACTGGGCGTGCCAATTTGTTTACTGTGAAAATTAGTAAACAACCGTTGGTCTTTCCAATTGAAAAAGAATTGGGTTACGTACATGATCGACCATACAAATCATAAGACATGTGCTAGTAATTCTTAATTTAAAGTTTGGGAAATGGTGAATATTTCAACAATATTCATGATCTAACAATTATCAACTTCGAAATTAAAGGAAGTAAAGTTTTGAAACTTAATCAAAGACAATTAAATGCATTGAAAAATAACTTGAATAATAAAAAGATAGACTTTGTGGTAAAAAAAAATGAAATTTGCATTAAAGTGTAAAAAGTATGGTGTTTGTCAAACGTACATTTTTCTTCGACGCACTCTTTTTCTCTACACACGGATACTTTTGAATAATTTTAGAAACTTTGTACAATTTTGAACACCCCCAATCCTAACGCTAGGACCTTCTATTCATAATGATAAAAAATAACCGATCCTAACGGTCTTCCTACAAACAAATGACAAGTGGCGCTCGGCGTGCTCTCTTTCTTTGATAAAGCTCCACGTGTCTCCTTCACAAATCAGGATAAGAACAAAAGTTCTCTCCTTTATTTGAATTCAAATCACGTGTCAAAACCACCTTCTAAGACTTTAAAATATTTTTCTTCACATCTTATTCAACATATCCTCCTTACGCGACAAGGTAACTTCGACTGAAAATAAATGTCCCATTTTGTTGAAATCTCTCATAACTTCATATAACTTTGTTTATTATTTCCATCAATTAATACCAGAAATCAAAATTGAAAGCTAACAGCGTGGAAGTAGGACTTGAGTATGATCACAGAAGTACATAGATAAATAACATCAAACTTAAAAATTGTCGTCCAGGTAAAGTTGTTACATTTAACATAAATTTTAATCTCTCAAACTTATTTCTTTAGAAAAGAAAAATATTTAAACTTGAGATTGTAATGACATTCAGTCATTACATTATTTTTAGTAAGTTTAACATTATTTTCAATTGCTTTTTCTACTAATAATAGTTTGTGTTTTTTAGTGTTTTAATTATAATTTAAAGCATTATGGAAAATCTCAATCCAATTCAAAATCACACTGAATAAATTCTACGGTGTTTTTATGGTGGAAGTTTCTGAAGCAAGAAGTAGAGTGAGACTTATACACAAAATTTGGAAGAAAGGAAGAATTTTGAAAAAATCAACAATTTATCCTAAGTTTCATGAAGATAATCATCTTATAATTTACTCAAAATATTGTGTTGTGCCAAGCTACCCAATGTGGCACATTACAAGATTTGTACCAGCCAGACGTCAGCAAAATTAAGGGAATGCAACATACTTTATACATGGTGTGACACGATTGTGTGATTTCAGAATTTTTTATTTAAAGTTGTTTAGAGTTTTACATTGAATAATTTATGCCTTGAACATGTTTTTATAAGTGGAGTAATCTTCACTTTACTAGTCGATTTTGTAGGATGAATTAAACCCAATTCACACATTCTTAATATATGGTATCAGAGATTCGTTTAAGATCCATTATGTCACTCGCCATTTAGTTCCACGCCTAGATGTAAATCTTGAGCGTCAAAGAGGGTGTTAAGAGTTCTACGTCAGACAATCTATAGTCTTGAATATATATATATATATATATATATATATATATATATATATATATATATATATATATATATATATATATATATATATATATATATATATATATATATATATATATATATATATTGATCTGACCTGATCAGAAGGGGATCACGGGCCGGCCACACTCTATCGGACTGCTACGTGTTCACCGGTGATGAGGAGGAAAAGGGGGGTGTACCTGCAAAACACTCTGATGCCAAAGTAAGGAGTTGGGCAGAGTGAGAGCAAAGTACAGAAAGGGCAAGATTTGAAATTACCTGACCCTCTTGAGGAAGAGGGTATTTATAGAGAGACCCCAGCGCTGGGCCAACGGTCATTTGAGCTGGACTGGATGACCAGGCCCAACCCTAATGACTGCTAGGGCTTACGTGGCGTAGTGAAGACCAGGACGTGGTCTTCGCCCTAGTCCAACCGTTTCTAGATCTCCGAAAAGTGGGTTTGACCTGCTCTTTCGGAGGTGGGCAGTTGGTTGGTGACGTGTCCCGGCGGAGGGGAGCACGTGGAGAACGTGCGCCGGGCATGTTGTCTTCCCGCAAAGGGGAGCTCGGGAGGTTCCCCGGAAGCAGGTTGTTCTCCCCGCGGAGGAGAGGAACCGAGGCCATGCTTTGATGCGCCGGGGTGTGTTCTGTTCGGCTGATAAGAGAGGGCGACGAGATGCTGTTGGACGCGCTGCTTGCGTCCGGTGTCGTGCTCTGCTCGTCTTGCGGGATGCGCGTGCCCGGCGTGCCCGATTCGCCCGTTGGGTCGTACGTGGTATTGGGCCTGCCGAGGTCGGGCCCAGACCGGAACATATATATATATATATATATATATATATATATATATATATATATATATATATATATATATATATATATATATATATATATATATATATATATATATTCTTCGCCTTAGAACATCTTTAGTGGGAGTAAACTAAATGGGTAAACTAAGATACTTTTTGTGGACCCAAAGTGATTTGTAGGATTTAAAAAATTTATAGTTGATTTGAGTAGTTTTTACTTTAATGGTGGTTGTCTATAAGAAACCAAAACTTGACCCCACATTTTATATTTTTTATTTAAGTTACCATTAATTTAATTATTTTAATTAAAATACATATAATTTTTTAAATAAAATTTACCTTAAAAACTTAAAAATAATATTAAATATATTTTATTATAAAATTAAAAATGATACAAAATTCACAACAATAATATATTAAAAAAATTAGATTTTCATAAGAATATAATTATAATAAGGATTCGATTGGCTGAGATCCATTTGATAAATAAATAAGATTGGAAATTGAAAGAAAAAAATTTAGAAGCAAAACTGTGTGTAAAAAAAATTAAAATTTCTATAGAATTTATAGAAGGTAAAAAATGATAATATGACCGTTACTATTTTCAAATATCATACCCTTACTTTAATGTTGTTGGAATATTTGAAATATTTTATTAATATTAAATAATATTATAATAGGTTTATATGAATAGTTAACGTTTACTATATAGAGAATGAGAACTAAATTTTAGTTCATTTGGATGTCATGTCAGCTCTCCTATAATGCAAATTTCTTATTACTAACGTAAGCTATAAAGAATTTTGGTTTAACAACTCTGCGTTAAAGTTGCTCTTACAAATTGATTTGGTACGGATGAGTTAGGTCAAACTCTAATAACTCAAATTAGTGTCAATTGCAACTTCGAAAAAGACATTAAGGGATTGCAATTGAGGAAGAGAGTTACGTACCAAGAAATTAAGCATAACTATTTTATAAATAACCGTGATAATTAAGGAAATAATTATATGTTCAAATTGAATTACCATATAAGAGTAGACAACTGATTCGAAATAAAATCTAACATAACTTTCAATTTACACATTGGTCTCTAACTTTTGTACGTATTGTGTATCCCCACTCTCTTTGTTACTTTTTTTCTTCTAAAATAAGTAAAATCACTACTTACATTAGGAATTACAACAATATGTATATATACGAATTTATAAAATTATTACTTGATGATCATTTTGATTTACTTGTCAAAATATTCATCAAGTGTAAGAAGCACATAGATGTGATATATCAATATTCATCAAGTGTAAGAAGCATATAGATGTGAGATATTACTTTCTCCAAAATCTTATAAGAGAATGAGTGGTTGAGTTGATCCATTGGAGTTCACAAAATCAACTTTCAGACATCATGACCAACTCTTTGAAGATTGAGTCATTTTGCAAAATATGGGAAAAACTAAGTATACTCATTTGTCAAATTTAAATTGAATTACTTGTAAGTTATGTTAAACTCAATTACTAAGTGTTTTTTATGTAGTAATGTTCAGTTTAGGAGAGAATTTGTTAGGATTAAAATAAGCTAGTTACTTACTTGTGAAATAACTACTTTCTTGTGATGCAAGCTAGTCCTAAACCGATAAGCTTTAGTCTTTGTTATACCAATTTATAAGTACTAAGTGGATACATAATTCTAAGCAATGAAATTGAAGACCTCAGACTGGCATTGTGCTCCATCTATATCAGTAAAATTAAGAAAGAGGTTGGTTGGTGAAGTTTATTCAAGTATAGTGACGATAGATTTAAGAGAGGAGTATTCGAAAATTAAAGTGAAGAACATTTTGATCATAACACGGTAGCAATAATTAAAGAATCGAAAATCAAGAGAGGGAAAAAAATCAGAAGAACAGAATTTTCTATTCCAAGAGTTTAAATAGATGAATCAAAGGAATGAAGAACTTGCTCTAACATCATTCTTTTATCCGGATCAAGAGGGCTCTCTGGATTATCAGAGTGAACGATATTTAGAAGATAGAGCTTCCTTGAAGCCACAAATGCTGCAGTAAAAATCCTCTTGATTCCTCCCCGAGTACTATCAATCTTGTATTCAAATTCATAAACTTGCAAACCTCCTTTCCCTGATCTTTCTTCAACTGCAATCACCTCAGCTTCCTTTGTACTTTCCTGAACGTCGAGGCAATAAGCAATAGAAGTTAAAAGCATACGTACAATGACACAGATATGTGTATCAATCCACCATTCTTAACACACAAAGACATGTAGGTCTATATGTCAAAAAAGGTAGAAATCAGAAGAAATAAACCTTCTTGTGTTTCCTAATCTTACTTGTTAGCCTCAATGGTAAGTGCTATATGAATTTTTTTGCCATAAAAGCAACATCAGGGTGTTCTTGAGTGCATGTTTAGAGTCATGGTGAGTTTGACAGCATCACAGCTACATTGTTAATTTCTTGAAGCACCAAAGTGTACTTTTAATAAAAATTACAATGACACATTGTGATTCTACCAAACTGTTGGGGAGACTGAGAATCCGTTGTTGCTCCCGCCTTCCCCGGTCTCCCCAACACAAACTCAGTGCCAATCGGTGGAGATGTTGGAGCCCATTATTGCTCCCGCCTTCCCTAGTCTCCCCAATACAAACTCAGTGCCAATCCAATTCCTACTTTTTCTATCTTGTTGTATATATATTCTACACACAGCATAGCTAACTTTGAAAAAATTGAACAAGGAGTGTCAAGAGTCTCCACATCAGAACAATATATGACCCCGGTTTTGTAAGGTCGAGTTAATTCCAAACCCAACACCCCTTACAAGCCTAAAAAATGTAAAGGTTGATTCCATTTATCAACACTTTTTTTCTCTCTCATCTGGTCTTTACCTTGTAATGTAGGGAAATTGTTCTAATCACCATAGCTACTAGGCACAAATTTCATGAAGAGCACAAACAAAAAGCAGCAGTATTAAGAACAAGAGTGTATACTATACCTTGCGTCTTTCAGCTTGTAAAAGCTTATCAGCAACAAATTGAGGAGTCCCAAAGTCTGGAAGAGTTGAAAGACGAACCGGGTTTACCACAACACCAATATTGTTACTTCCCATATTTGGTTCTTGAAACAACGCTGTAGCCCCAGCTTTATCAACCTGTTACAACCACATCAATTGCTATCAAAGATTGTTCTTTTATGAAAAAAAAAAAAAAACACAATCAATTGTTCAGAATATATACCTTAGTCCAAGAAGAGGGTGTAAGAAGAGTGAAACCTTCTTTGGAATCAGTGTATCTCTGAAGGTCAGTTATTAATTCTTGTGCTAACAAGAGTGTATTAGGCAAGACGCTCCATAGAAAGGGTGAAAGCAAAAGGGTAAGGTTGAATTTCCTTTTACTCAAACAGGGCGTGTGCCTATGGGAATTGTGAATGTAGATAGAGGAAGTTGAGTTGGGGATTGAAATTGGGGAAGAAGGAGAAGCATGAGTGAGTTTGTGGAAGAGAATGGTGGTGTGTGAAAGGGTAGAGAAAGTTTTCAAAGCCATTTTGAAAAGGTAAAGATCTCTTTCCTTTGAGCTATGTTGGGTGACAACATTGGTGGGTGTTCGTTCGTTTAATTGTTATCCATAGTTCGTTACTTCATTCACTTCTTGAGTTTTTACTTTTAAACATTGAAAAAAAAATACAATGAAATGTAAAGGATTTGAAAAGTAAATTACATATAAATTAAAATGAATTTTAAAGTTGAAAGATAAATTTACGGAAAAATATACAATATTTAAAAATGATGGAAGATGCACTAAAAGTTCACTACTATATAAGAGACATTTTACATAAGTTGAAATGAACATTTATGAAGATTGTGCTACATCAGACTCTTACTTCGAAGAGCATGAATTTATTAGAGACAGTTACGACACACACAAAAGAAAAAGCTAGTTTGAGTGATGATTCTAGAAGAAATCAAACTCATAAAGAATCAAAATTGAAAATTGCGACTAAGAAGAAAATCAAAAGGAAGAGAAAGGAAATTATAAATTAGAAGAAAAACAAAACGAAAGGAATAAGTTTTAAGGTTGTTGGAAACGATAATACGAAAGCGTGAAATGGAAAGAAAAAATGAGTCATTAGAAGAAATATTTTTTTTAATAAAACTGTTTTTGTATGTGGCTAAGTAAATCCACCAATAGAAAATATTAAAAGATTTGTTCAAATTTTTATAATGTCAACACTCTTTGTTTTAACATTGGTTTCTGCTCTAAACATGTGCAACATCTTGATATAAAGCTAGTTTATTTTTAAGTTAGGAGTAGTCCTTAAAATTTAAATATTAGATCATTTGATCTCAATAACAAATCTTATTTATTGATAAGAGAAATTAGGTAATTGTCACTTCACCGACATTTCACTATCGTAGAAGTTACTTCACTAAATTAGTCTCAAAAGTTTGTAGGTAGGAAATTAATACATGTTCCAAAAATTACTCTTCATCGATTGATATTTATGAAATTAAAAGGTATCACATTTAGAACGAATTTAAGAATCAAATTTATAGTAGCTTCATCGACGGTCTCTTTTTTTATGATCCCTGATGTGGAGAGGACGCAAGTGATCCCTCTGTTCCTCTGACAGACTTTTTAGACGTATTGATATATCAAACACCATGATCAAATTCTCATTCATGATTTTTAATACTTCACTCAAATCCTCCAAGTCTAGATCGCCAAATGCTTTTGCCCTTTCAGTATGGAATTTAACAAGAAACACTAATATCACATTGACTCTAAGATTTACTAGTATTTATTCCTTGACTAATGTTTGATTCTCTAGATCGGATTCAATGTTCAACAAGATTTCATGCACTTACACATAATCAATCCCCTATTAATTGTCAACATTGTACATAGGTGTGGTTATATCATCAATATCAATGCTAAATTGGAAATCTTCCTCCTTGTCTAGCCCCTTCAAGTCTTTTGGATCATTCAGTGCATTAATCACGTTATCGAAGGTTGTGTTGCACCCCAAAATTTGTCCTCTTGTTCTTAAACCTGTCTGGCGCGTGCTTCTCATTCATATGCATCTCCATTGGGTCATGACATTCATAATCATGCATTTCATTATGCTTCTAAGACTTGAGATCAAGGTATTTTGTACAAGTTGAGGTTTCTCTATTCTTGTGAAACTCTCTTCCTCATTCAGGGATGATTTAAGTTGTTTCTTTTTCAATCACGTGAAAGCTAGGGTTTGAATTCTTGGTCAGGGCAAGCTCACTGTTCCTCAAGCTGCAAGGTCCTCATCTGTCAAAACTCACCAAGAACAATTGGATTAGGTTTTTCTCTAGTACGAACTATACAATTTGAATTCATCAGATTTAGGGTTTATGTGATCATATACCCTTCAATGTCACTTGCTTCAAGGTTCTCGAAGTCACTAAGTGGTCAGGGTTTCATCGGTGGCCTAACTGAAAGATTCTTTGAACTAGGGTTTTGTTCTCATCAATTTCCTAAGTCATTGCTTCATCAGTATCCACCCAAAGGCAAGGAGATCAAGGTTTCTTACTCCTTTATGTTCAAGATTGGTAGCTGTTGTTCGATTCAGATTCACTTAAAGATTGGCAGGTTGAATGTTTGCGTAATTTTCAGTTTCAAATGGGATGTGACTTGATCTTGGTTGAGAAAAAAGAAATTGTTTTATTCTCGAGTTGAATTTAACATAAACGGTACTTTATATCTAAGGATCGTCAAGTTGTGGTTTTAGTGTCAAGTTTAAGTTGTTTGGTATAATCAAGTTGCATAGCCATTAAGGTTGAAACGGTTGGTATGTTTCAAGTCACTTGCAAAACTTGATCATGTGCTTCATATCCTCGCCATAGGTTCAAAAGAGAAGTCAAGATTACCTTTCAATTTAAGACCATTTCAAGATAGGTTCATGGTTGTGATGTCATTTGTCAGAAATCGATTTAAGTTTCCAATTCAGTTTAAAATAGATCTTTAAGAAGAATTCAACTTGGTTTTAGGTTGATCTTTAAAAGTCAATTCAAGCATAACCTTATTCAAAGGAAAAGTTAAGAGGATTTAATTTTTGATTTCAAAGTTTTTATCCGTTCAAGAGTCCAAGATCGATTTATGATTGATTCAAAGGTGATGAATTTCGTTTGGATGTTGTGTACTAATTCAATTGGAATTGGTTTAATTTTTTTGGTTCAAGAAGTATGTTGCAAGCATAAGTGACGTATGCAAATAAATTTTGATCAAAAAGTCTATGAATTGCTACAAAAGCCCATTACAAAAAAAAAATCACCTAAGTTTTATAAAAAGAAAAACTCTACAAAAACAAGTTCATGAAATGTACCAAAGCCCAATACACTTTACAAGCAAAATTACAAAAAAGGTTCATCACTAAGGTCCATTTACAAGAACCAAAATGACAAAAAAATATAACAAAAAGAGGAGTCTTGCTCCAAGTCATGCCATGGCCCCACATGAACATAATACATCTAATTCATCACTTGAGAACAACATCATGTACTGCAACTCTGCCTACACATGGTACGAACCTGCACAAAAAGCATTTGTACCACACTCCATAAGCCATGACAAACCTGCAACAACACAACAACAAAACCTGTTACTACATGACAAACAAAACCTGCTACACTTGCACCAAAACAACCGACAACAAAACATACACAACTTGTAGTGAAAGGGATTTATCAAGACAATACAAGACAAATTTGAGACTTAATTAACAAGTCTTGTGGTTTTTAAAAGGAGAAGGAGGAAGAAAATAAAAGGGGGCAAAGGAACTAACAGAAAAGAATAAAATAAAATAAAAATTATCTTCAACCATCTTGATGGAACCTCAAAAAGGGTTCGTTTGTTTGTTTGCTTCTTATTTGTTGATTGCTTGCTTGTTTGACTGTTTATTATATACTTGTTTGCTTACCTTTATTGTTTATCCTATTATTTATTTATGATATTGTTGGGATCCGTTGGTTATTGGCTTTGTGAGATAGGCTCCTTACCCGAGTCTGAGAAAAAACTTAGGATTAGATTGGTGGTTGATAACTCTAAGGACCTTTTAACCCATTTCCATGGTGGTTGGTAGTGCTAACTCATGAGGGTCAATCCTTTGGGTTGACATGAACGCCCCAATCAAATGACATCCCTTGAATGTATCATTATTTTGACAATGATATTTTCAACCTCGATCTATGACTCTAAGATACCTTTTTAAGAACCTTGGACTCGATGGTTGTGTCGTAGAGACTCACGAGGAAGCTTCCTCGTTGAGATGACATGAAAACCTCACTTAGAAGAGATCATTTCAAAGATGTTGTTGTCTTGATGAGCCTTCGTCATGGAAATGATATCTTTGAGAAGATCCATGACTCTAGGTGTAACGCCCCATATTGCTTTCAGGATTACCGACTGACCCCACAAACCAACACGGGTCTTTTCAGCATGCTTTTTCCTCACTCACATGCTTTATGGGAAACTTCCCGGAAGGTCACCCATCCCAGAATTGCTCTAACTCAAGCACGCTTAACTGTGGAGTTCTTATGAATGGACTATCGAAAAGAAGATGCATCTTGTTGGTATAGGTAGTACCAATTAATCCTTATAAGCCTTCATTCAACCATGTAGTCCCATACCTGCATAGCCTCAGGATCCCTCTCATTCGGATGTGAATTCAGGTTTTTCCCCAGAAGCTGCTAGAAGTGTCTCATTGTCATGCCTCTTGCACCGACAACGACTCCCTCGCCCTCAAGTGTGTACATGTAACCACCGTCCTCTTTCACCTCAGATGTTACACTAGGCACCCACCTATTTTAGAGCCTACCCATGGGGTTACGATAATCAGAGATACTTATTGCCTTTGCTTTAACTTCAGAATTATACTTGTGATTCTAAGCCTCACATATGCATTTCATGCTCATATCATAACATTAATGTTATTTGGTTTCCAGGGGATTTAAGAGTTACATTACAAGAATTCAGAAATCATGGGATTGAACCTCAAAAACACCTACTCATATAGCTTCAGAAAGCCCAAGTTGGATGATTTGTGTGGTCTAGTTTCACGTATTCATGTTGTGTTCAGAATAAACTTTGGAAGAGATTATGGCAAGCTTATCCACATCCTAAATCAAGAGGTGGATCAGCGAGCTCTCGTCACTTTGGGTCATTTTTTTTACTCTTCCTTGAGATGTTTTACATTTCAAAACTTTCAGCTAGCTCCAACACTTGGGGAGTATGAGAGTTTGATTGGTATTTCAATGAAGGGAAAGTTACCATCTATGGGAGTAACATATCTCTCAAAGACGAGGTTATAGCCGATGCTCTCCACTTGCACAAGAAAGAGATTACCGACAATTGGAAAGTTAAGAAAGGTGTTAAAGAGTTGCCTCTTAAGTTCCTTATTAAAAGGGCATATGTTCTCATAGAAGCTCAGAGTTGAGACGCTTGTTATGCTACTGTTGCTTTGGCTATCCATGGGATCATTTTATTCCCTAACATAAACAATTTTGTGGATATGACTG